GCTTACATTACATGATTACATTTAGTGCTTGCTTCCATTGATGTGTGAGGATTCTATAAAAAACTGCATGTACAATGAAATATATTACTTTGAATTTAACTGGCATTGAATGGTAATATATTCGAAAACAGAAATCTATTTTAGTGTGTGGAAATGCTGAGAAACAAAGTCATATATAAATATATTATTGATGAAAGTATGCATTGTAAGTCGACAGCTGTCAAGCGGGGTAGCTTGCGAAAAGAAACAGGAACAAAAAGAGAGAGCAACGAGCAAACATGAGAGGAAATAGTGATGGAAGTGTTGGAGATTAAAAAGGGAGGGAACGACGATGAGAGAGAGAGAGAGAGAGAGAGAGAGAGAGAGAGAAAGAGAGAGAGAGAAAGAGAGAAAGAAAAGGAGAGAGAAAGAGAATAAATAAGTTGCACAGAACAGGCTTTATTTGGTTAATCAAAATGCTTACTGGGCGATATATTATCTAGCCACCATCTTCTCACGGAAGTAGCACAACCATGCCCTTCTTGAGTCCGTGCATGCCAACCAAGACACAAACGGATCTGGTTTCATGCTGATAATACTTTGTTTCTCTGAGATACTTTCATTCAAGTGGTGATGACCACTTGTACACACCAGATGACCACCTAGATAGTGGAGCTAGTTTTAAAAAAACTTTAAAATTTTATTTTGACATAAAAAAACAAACTTAAACAAACAAAAAAATAACCTTATTTTTCGACATCAGTATTTTTTAAAACTTAGAGAAATTAGTCACGAACAATTTTCGTCAATACAACAAAATAAGGTATGCTTTAATAACAATTTTTACATAATACAAATTTAAACGTTTCAGTAATGCCTTCCTCAGTATAACAACAAAACATGTAAATATGTACACATTGAATTTACATAATATATATAATAATAATAATAAAGTTTATTTCAAAAACACGCTTCATCCCCAAAGACTCGAAGCGCGGTACAAAGTCAACAAAAAACAAATCTATAATTTACCACATTTAAAACAAACACAACACTACAAAAACTAATTACAAGCTTACAATGTCATAGTCTTTCTACCCATTTTAACCATAAGCAACACAGCCATTGTGCATTAACTGGAAAATAAGGTAGACAATCATCCCAAAAGGTGTTTGCAAAATAGATGTGTCTTCAAATCGGTTTTAAAGGACTCCAGTGTTTCTGAAATCGACAGGAAGTGCGTTCCAAATTGTTGGACCAGCAAATGCGAAAGTGCGCTTTCCGTAAGTCTCAAGGCAAACACGTGGTTTCGAGAGTTTGCCACTATCGGATGAGCGGGTACATAAGGCGTCAGAAGCTCTTTCAGATAGGACGGCGCCAGGTCATGTAAGCAGCGGTAGCACAACGTTGCGATTTTATACTCTATGCGAGCACGGACCGGCAGCCAATGCAACTCTCTCAGAAGTGTTTTTGCATGGTCGAACTTGCGTTTGCGGAGAGCAATGCGAGCTGCATTATTCTGTGCTATTTGAATTTTATCCAGGAGCGTAGTTGGAAGACCCACCATGAGAGCATTGCAATAGTCCATTCGTGATAGCACAAATGCAGACATCAGCCTCTTTGTTGCATCAATTGTTAGGAAGGGCCTGATGTGACTAATCCTGCGAAGCTCAAGAAAAAAATCGCCTTGCATAGCATGTTAATATTACTTTCAAAAGTTGGTCTTCTATCTAGGTAGACACCCAGGTACCGCACTGTTTGAGCTAACTCAATACGTACACCTGAGAGAGTAATTGATATCGTGTTATTTGCAGATTTTTGCTTCTGAGCGGTCGCGATGGGGAGCAGCTCAGTCTTATCATCATTCAATTTGAGCTTGTTTATGGTCATCCAGTGCTTAACCAACTCCATTGTCTTCTGTGTCATACTGAACAGTTGAGGGAACTGAGAAGGGATCACGGATTGATATATACATATATCCTACCTAAAAAAGAAAAAAACAAAAATGAATGGGCACAAAAACAGAGATGAACAAAGTAAAGAAACATGGATAGAAAGTGGTTTGAAATAAAATGTATATAAAAAAAGAATAAATCAATTTGGAAACTACGTAAATCTGTGGATTTGGTTTATCCATTATGTTATAAATGTACCTAAACTGTTTTAATAATTTATTATCCATATAGATCCTATCCGTTGTGTTACAAGTATACACTGTGATATCTATAATTACATCATGGTTAGTTCTTTTGATATGTTTGGAGACCTGACAGAGAGCTTGTTGATTTATGTTATAGAGGTGTTCTCTAAATGGTCCCCCTTGGCTACGACCTGTCGCTCCTACGTATAATTTACAAAGTAGGGTGTAAATCACTTTGCGACTTGTGCAGGTAAAGCCATCTTTTATTCTGGATATTTCCAGAAGAAAAGCGATCTTTTTTTCTTCTATTACGTAGAGACCTGTGATACAACAGATTTGAGAGCATCATTTAGTGCCTCTCTGGGCTTTAATAGCAGGGAGGAGGTTTCTAACTAGCATGTCCCTAAGGCTCTTGTCCTTCTGGAGCATTTACCATTCAAATAAAACAAGTATTTTTTCTGGCTATTTTTTAAAAACAAATTTTGTATTTACATTTATTATATTTTTTTGTTAACATTAAAATGTATCTTATGTAGCTTGGTAATAATTTCAGAAAAGGTTAAAACCACAAATCACCTTTCTTAAACGTCAAGCAGCTGTTGGAGTCCTCTAGTTACCCTGGCATTAAAAACATTTGATATTTAAAATTGTAGTCCACATCACAACCCTTAAATTGCAGCCTCTAATGGCATTGTAATTCTGTTTTCTGTAGAGTCATTTATTTAAACGATAAAATCAACATATACAGATCTCAAAGAAATTTTCATTTTAATCGATATATAAAAAAAATAAAACTAGTTCATAATACTATGGATGTATTCTAATAATTCCCAATGCATCTTGCCCGACCCGCTTTCTTTCGCTGCTTCCCACGTCGAAAGAACAAAAGGTTTAGATGAAGAGCCATCCGAAATTATTTGTATAGCTGTGCACTCCTTTCCCCCTAATAGAGACGCCCAACGTGGTTGCCTTGTCCCAGCAGATTATCATTACGTGTAGTTCAAACGGTCCTCTATATAATGGTCTGATGTTAGTTCACATTTAGAAATTCGTAAACCGGTTTCAGAACAAGAGGTCAAAAGGGTTATTTTTAAAGTCTAAACCTACGTCATGCTCTTTGGACCCCATCCACACACCCCTGTTAGTTGAGTCGTTAGATCATTTGCTCCCGACGATAACCCATATAGTCAATGAAAGATTGTCTTCTGGCAATGTATTTAACTTATCTCTTGAGAGTTATCAATGACTTTTTGATCGCAATGGACAGCAGTGCTATCTCTATCCTAATATTCTTAGACCTCAGAGCGGCCTTTGACACTTTTGACCATAAAACACTTTACAAAACCTTTCGAAACTTACTTAGAAATTTCTGGAACAATTTGGGCTTGATTTAGGTCCTAACTATCCGATAGAACGCAGGCTTACTCTCCGGCAGTGCTGACTTGATGTACGGATTGCCACAGTGGTCGGTTTTGGGCCCTGTTCTATTCTCAATGTATACCAGGCCACTGCTCCTCTTGCTCGGGAAGCATGCTGTGTAGCGCCAGTCCTTCGCAGATGACACCCAACCATACAAGCATATCCACCCCTCTCTTGTCGATTCTGCTGTGAGGACATTGCGGTAGAGCATTGATGATGTGAAGACATGGATGACCCTCAGCAAGTTTAAGCTTAACAATGATAAAACGGAGGTACACCTTATTGACGATCAAAAACCATCCTCTAACTCAGCTCTCTCCACTTCATTTCATATAGGTAACTCTGACTTACAATTACATTCTCCTTTAGGAATCTTTTTTATATAAAGTCTAAAAACTTGTCTTTCGATAATCATATCTCTCACACATTGTCCCCCTGCATACACCTCTATCGATCAGATCAGCTCCATCCGCCACTACCTCACAGTCAGCGCTATAAAAACCATAGTCTGTGCTCTAGTTCTCTCTCGCCTTGACTATTGTAACTCTCTTCTGTCCTGTTCACCAAAACACTTCTTATAAAAATTGTGAAATTTTCAAAACTGGGCTTCAAGGCTAATTCTCACGGCAAAAAAAAGACGTGATCACGTCACACCACTAACATATTCACTTTATTGGCTCCCTGTACAAGCACGGATTGACTACAAACTCTCTGTTCTCTGCCGCAACTTTTTCTTAAATTACTCCCCGTCTTATCTTCTTACCTAACCTTAGTTCTCTCTATCTATTCACCCCTTCGACAGCCTCGCTTCCCTGCAGACGCAAGTATTCTTCCTGTCCCCAAGACTCACACCAAAACAATACGGTGAATGATCGTTCTTTTTCTGTTTCCCCAAACAATTTAATTCTCTTCCTCTACACATCCAAAATATACCAATCGTAACAGCCTTCAAAACTCAAACGCATCTCTGTAAACTCTGTTATCGTGACTTATTCCCCCCTCTGATCGATAAACGATGCTGCTGGGTGCCGTCTATGGCTTCATATGTAAATATTTATGGAATGAATACACATGTGTATTGTTTTGGGTAATTCATGTATACTAACTTTTTAAGTTAATGATTATGTTTGTTTAAATGTTATGTAAAGCGTGGTGAGCCAGCCCTAGGCAGGGTACCAAGCTATATTAAAAAACAAAAAAAAAAAACAATAATAAAAATATATCCCAAGTGTATGTTTTTATCTAGTTTCATCAAATTTACTTTCATCTAACTTGTATGCCTAGCCAGCAAATTTGAATGTGTCTTTGTTTTTTTGTTTGTGTTGTTTTTTTTCTTTTTTTTTTTTAAGAATAAAAGTGTCAGCCTGGAGAGTCATCCGGGAACAATGACCTTGACATCGCTAGATTTAAATTACCCCCCCCCCCTTAACAAAAAAAATATTTTTTTTGTCAAACATGGGATTATAATCACGTTTACTACAGCGAGTTGGGACTATAAATAGAGGCAATGATCAACTTGTTTGGACCACAGAGGCACAGCCAATGGTTCTGAGGAGCAGAATTGCACGCAGAAACCTCAAACGTATATACCCAGCTTGATACAAGGCAGACCAAAGAGAAGATGGATTCACTCAGGCAGATGAACATCACTGGCCTCCTTGTGCTCTTCCTGTTTAATGCATCCCTCGTTCTTGGTAAGATGAGTTAAATGTAAGGACGATGTCATTTTGTTTTAATTATTTGCATAGACGCTATTGAAGAAAACAATTGAATATATTTAACATTATATAAGATGGTGCATTCAAACTTTAATACATCTAAATGGTATGAAGATATAATTTTTTGAAGAGGTATAAGTTATAACCGTAGCAATAATGCTGATTATAAGAAGGCTTGGGCTGCGATAAAGCGTTTAATTAGATTACTGAGACAAAAAGAATTTGTGCCACAAATGCCTAACTCTGAAAAACAATATATTTTAAAGATTTAGCGAGTTCTTTCTTTGCTGCAACATAATAACAAACTGCATTAATATAAACTAAATTGTTCATATAAAAATAAAATCCTTACTATTTATATTAACATTTGAAAGTATGCAACGAAAAGTAATGGACACATGTCCATCACAAAAACAAAGAAAAGAGGAAAAAAAATGAAATGGTCGAAGTACAAGTTCAAGACAACCCGGCTATGTACAAATTGTGTCTTTGCACACTAACGTAATTCATAAATCTTTCCGAATTTTGAATACAGCTTCATTTCAGAATTTCAACTTGATCTTCTTCCTAATTCATTATATACATGTATATTTTTCATACAATAATGTCTACGTTTAATAGCGAAAACTTGACAATATCTCTTGGGAGACTATTTTAAACCAATGTATCTCCAATGTCTACCAACTTACCGGAAACACATAAACAATGGAAGGTCCGTGTGCTTTTTACGTTGTTTTTAATTGGTGACCACTTTGAATCCTCATCTGAACTCTATGATCATCCTCCATTTCCGTCATTCCGAGCCACACGCTTCTCTTAATATAAAAAAATCCCCTTACATTCCCACCTATATTCTTATATAAGCAAAGTTCAGTTTATCTACATGGATCAGTTCCAAGTATGAAAAAAAAATAAAATCGTGATTAAAAAATATGGGTGACCTGTTTCTACACATACACACAACAGAGTTACTTTTCATTTTTTGTACCGTGTTCCGCCGAATGGAGAAAAGTGCAAATTGCGTGTATAGGACCAGAACGCTAAATGTTATAATCTTACACAAGACGTTTCTCAACCTTTTTTAGCAATCATCATGTAGAAGACACAAACTATAAAGTTAACAATCATGTAGAAGAAACATAATTTTGCAGCAGCACATAATCACACAATTATTAAACTCAAAGTAAAACAAAATTGTTCAATCTGTGTGTCGACTGGTGATGCCACATCATACCTGTGCCAAGCATCTCTCTCTCTCTCTATATATATATTATATATATATATATATAAAATATTAAACTAAGTTACACATTAAGCACTTGTGTTGATTACGCCATTGTATTTCATTCAACCAAGTCGTAACAGGCCAGTCCAGGGACACATCAAAACAAATATGTCAGAGTTCAGATGAATTAAGACTGCAGCTGGTCAAATTGGTTGCCGCTAGTGATGGAGATTTGAGAAATGAACTCTTAAGAATTGCACAGGTATTAAAACACATCCATTTCATTTTAATAGCTTTTTACTTTGTTTATCGCTCCGCCATTTATGATCATTAGACAATGGTGACGTAATCTTTGCTATGGTTTATCTAAAGTATAAAATACACATTTCCATTTCCCGCTTGATACTAAGTATGCATATATATGTATCAATGTACGTACATATTAATTTTAGTATGTATTTTATTTACACTTAGGAATAATTAAGTTGCGTTCCCTATATTTCTATAGATTTTAAAGGATAGAATTCTTCTTCTATATATTTTAATTTGAGCCCAAGATCAATGTATTTATAATTATGGCTTCTATGCATTTAGAGAGGAATTCCAATGTTTCTGTGCCAGGTGTTCATGACGATATTTAACTGATTAGAAGTGCCACTTTGTGAGGGAATCATGCACTGGGGTTTGGAAGGCTTGAGGCAATAGACGCAAATGTGTCAAATGTTGTCGCCTAAAATGTTCCTTTTAATAGCTTGTTCCCGTCCCTGATTGTCTTTGGCTGAAATGAGCAGTTCCTATACTGGCTTCTCGCTGGTACAAGCTGGAACTGCCTGTCATTGCCTCTTTGCTCGCTTAGTGGGATATGGATGAGTTTCTGTTTAATGCTGCAGCAGTGGGCCAGACCATTCATGCATGATCCGTAAAGTTTATGTGACAAAACTTTTAATTTGAAAGAAATATAAGTTCAATCCAAATCCTTATAATTATATAATATCAATAAATGCGGCCACGTTTTGGGAAATAACATTTCGGATATCAAAACAGTCCAACAGAGAGTTTAGTTAGCATTATTTTGAGCGTAAATTAAATGCATTCATTCCATTCACACGAAAGCTCCTTTATTGAACACTATATTGTATAGAGGTGACCTGCATAACATACGGCCCTCTGGCAGCATGTGTCCCGCCTGCACTCACTTTAAGGCCATCGAAGTAACAAATAGTCTTTATTGTCATTATTTTCTTTATAGCTTACCCCCATGTTCTTTTTTCTTTTTTTCATAAAATTTTTCGACCTGCCGTACTTTTCAGCTGTGCAGGCCTGTTATAGTATAGTCATCAACAGAAAATACTAATGTATATAAAAATCCGATTTAAAAATTTTGACAATAAAAGAATTACTTAAAAAGACGAATGTAGTTCAGCATAAACTATAATGTCAGTTTGTTTTTAAATAAACCATTGCCACCATACAAAATAAATCAATAGTTGACATTTCGCATTACCTAATCGGCTCATTTCATATAAAGTATGCAGATAACTTTGACACGGGTGCTGTTTGTATGACAATATTACTTACCTTTAGCAAAAAATACGATATTAATAATTGAAAAATTAAAAATAATAAAAATCTGGTGGTTCGGATAAACGAGAAATATTGAGCCAACTTTAAAATGTACATAAAAGGTCTCTAAGATGAAACGAAGTATTTATTCATTGATTTGTTTAGGCGGCGTCACAATGTTTGGAACCAGTTAACTTCGCAAGCAGTGGCTGGACGCTCGTCTTCCATGGTCAAGCTGGTGTTGGCACGTCCGTTTTGGATGCTTATCAAACAGGCAAAGGGATCCCAGGAAATGTAGACGAAGGGTGTATTAAGGTATAACGTATGAAATGTATCAAAATATTATTCATTTATTTTACTAAAAATATTTAACGATGCACATTTAAAATTTGATTCTCTAAAAAAAAAAATATAAATATAGTTTTTCCTGTAATTCTAATTAATAAATGTGTAAGTTAAAGGATGTTAGCTTCCTGCCTGAAACTTAGATAGATGGCTGTGCACCTTGGTTGGAGCGTGGACATGCTGCCCTAACCCCTTTTTCATCAATACGTTATATATCATAAATACATAATATTGTGTTAGTCCGGGACGACAGTATTGCTGCATGTTTACATTTCGTGATAGTTTCATTTAGAAAACTTTGTTAAATTAGTATGTTTGAATTAAAGAACACAAAAGAGAGAAAATAACTGTACATATATTCATTATTCTTCCAATTGAATGGCATATAGCCGATTCAGCACGATGAAAGCTGTCAAAGTAGGATAGATGCTATGAAGGGCATTAGGTCATGACCTCTCATAGTTACATCCTATCTTTACATTGTAGTGATTAGTAAAGTGCAACGGGTGCTATGATGGTTATTAGGCTTTCACTTGCACAGGCTAATTACTATTTTGACGTAATTGTGAACAGTCACAGCACGACGGATCGTATGTAGATATTAGGCCATGACTTAACTTATGATATATTGACGTAACAGTGATTAGCCAGAGTAGAAGGGGTCGTGTCATGGTTATTAGGTCATGACTGGCAATGTTGTATATTAACGTAGTGGCGATTAGTCAAATCATGACGTAAGGTATGAAGTGTATTAGGTCATGAACTGTCGTATTCTTTACTGACGTAATCGTAATTAGTACAGGACCCATCCTCCATGTGATGTAGTATTAAGTCCTGACGTACCATATTATATATTGACGTAGAAGTTATTATTACCGGACCCATTTTCAAGGCGATGTAGATTATGGGGAAAATGCGATATTTTAAATGTATGTGTTACTTTCATAACCAAACATGTATTTTTAAAAGCAATAATGTTATTCTTAGTAAATTCAATCATTGTTTTACTGTTGGCGGCATATAGGTCACACCCTAAAAGCCACGTAAGGTAATAGGATGCTGAGTTCTTCAACTAACTGTAGCATTGCATATAACGTATTAATAATTTTATATTTGTCAAACGCGATTGGGGAAATTAGCAACGACAGCCGGCGCGAACGGAACTAGAGAGGCAAAATAACAAAAAAAATCTGTTTTGGAAATTCTTTAGTTTGTACGCTTTACCAAAATATTGAATGTGTGTACCTGACCATTTCCCGGGCAGTAAGACACGGGCTGTTACCAGACTCTCTTTAACAGAAATTGTCTTTAAATGATCGGTCGTCAATTTATATTATATACTAGCTAATATATCCATCGTTTCCTGTGTTTGTATTCGGACAAATCACTTGTTTAACGTTATAGGTGAAAACGTGGGCTAAATTTAGGGCTTTGAAATTGTTTCTACAAAGGACCTGATTTGTAACAATTTCTGTAAACATTGAATTTAAGGTACAATTAGATTAATGTCATCTTCCTTGAATTGGATTACATAACTTTGTACGGTTGTAGTACATGTTTCTTGACCATCATTCTGAGACGGTGTTCAAACCAATCAAAATGTCTATTTAGCAATACACCGGCTAATTAAGATGACACCAACCATTTGTCTTTTTTCCTCTTTTCGCCTTAAATATCGTATCTCGTTAGAAGCTATTTTTTTTTTCTTTTGAGAACTTTTGTTCAGAGACCAGGTTCGACACCGTCAAATGACAATGCTATTCTCAGATCTCACTAGAAAATATTTTAAAGTTATCGTATGTTGTCTTTTATTTATTAGCTGATCCTGATTTTGCAGCATTTAAAATAAAAAAAAATTGACAATTTTTTATTATAACACTAGCGAGTACCCGGCATGCGTTGCAATGCCACTCAAAGAAAGAAAGTGTATGCATGTTAATTATGTTTTTTCAAGAGCTTTTAAATACTCAAAGTTATTCTTGTTTTTCCATCTGGTATATACACGAATAAACCATAAGATTTTCTGACGCGAGAGCAGGCCACATACATCTGTCCATGGCCGAAGCATGGGTTTTCCAAATTTTGTCAGCAAACTTGTAGCGATTGTCCTGTGCTTTGTAGATAGTCATTGTAGGCGCGTGTCGCATCGGAAACAGTAGGCGTTTGAATTCAAATGGCATATCTGTTGGAATCATTGGGGTGAATGGCAAAAGTACATCACCTAGTTTACATTTTCAATTTAAAATTGTAACTTAAATGGAACCACTTTCGGAAGATTCATTTGAGCAAATGTACCGTAACAAATGCTTCAATATCAAAGTGCGTTTCTCGTTGCAAATCAAGAGCGAAAAGTTTGTTTGTAGATCGATTCCGAGAGGTCATTCCCAACTCATGAATCATCAATCGATATGAATAGTATTTCATGGCACTGATTTTCTTATTCGTTTCTCAATTTGATGTCAAAATGATATACATCTTCTCCTTGCGAAAATAAAATAGGAAATTGCAATCAATCGTATGAGCGATGAGTTTCTGAGACTCGCTGAAAATCCCCACTTCTGCGATGAAGAATTATATCACGTGAGTTACATTCTTCGCCAACTATAACGATCGCCACTTCATCAATTGTTGGTGCACTGTATTGTCTTTCATGTTGGCCGACAGGTGTTTAGTCTGCTCTAACTATGACTTTGTATTCATCAGTTGGCATCTTTACAAGTGCAATTCTATACATTTCAATTAATTCGTTGTGTTGCAAAATAACGTTTTCATTGCAGCGATGATTTCTCGTTTAGTGCCCGTATTAATATGACAACGTTGATCGATTTGTTCATCAGTATTCCCCATGAAATCATTTGAAGACATTGCGATCTGTGTTTGGCATTGGCATCAGAGATCCTACACGATGGTAAATTTGCCCTTTATCTTTACTTAAAATGTTGGCATGTAATTCTCGCGCACGATATTTGTTGCACCGAACGACGTCATTTGGAAACATGAATTGCACTTGCGTATGTTTGCCAAGAAATGTTTCGATTGGCTTGTTTCACTAGATACCAACGATGATAATGGTTCCGATGGTGAATGTAATTCTTGCAACTTCATTTTCCCATCCGCGCAGCAAATTCCCGGTGTTTCGTTTTTAAATTTAAGGGCACTGCAATACACGCATAATTGATCTATATTTCCAATAACCACACTTGGATTAAGACTGTAATCATAATTAGCATCGTAATTGAATGTACTAAGATTTAATTCAGCGTGCAGTGTTCGTCTGGATCGAGCAGTGCGTACTCTATCGGAATCCAGTCTTGTTTCTCGCTGCTCGAATGATTCAGACAAACGGGTTTCAGCATTGCTTACTCGGCCGGTTTTGAGTCTTGGTTTCTGTTCCTCCACTGTTTCAGGTAAACGGTATTGAGCATTGCGTACTCGAGTGGATTCTAGTCTTGCTTTCCGTTGCTCAACTGTTTCGAAAGATCGGGACTACTTTTCCTTTCGTGCTTGAGATTTAGATTGGCCCAAAACTTTTTGTTTGTGTGGCATAATTGATTTGACAGCGAAATTATTGCTTTGAGACATCTGTTTTAAGCAATGGTATTTTACAATTAACACAACTTTTTAGGTCACAAACAAAATGAAATATCGCTGTTTGTATTTGATTCAATTAATTTACAATATTCCTAACGTTAATAATTTTCACATGTTAGGATCTCCGATCTTTTTACATGAAAACCTCGCCCAATAGGTGCGTTCATTGTTGGCAGGAGATTTTCAGTTGTATAGTTTCTCATTAATTTATAAATCGTAAATTCCAGCGGTAAAAAAAAATGACCATAGCTCAATACCTATGTTGCCATGTATGCTATTTAATTACTTGAGAAACCATCGATTCATGTAAAATGTATTTACATAACACAAAAAAACTCCGAAATTATAAGACTATATTCAAGAAATACTCTTAGTTGAAAAAAAATCGCGATTTCGATGTCATTTCCGATTCTAAAATACGTCACAAATTCAAGCTTATTTATACAAATAACAAAAATACTCTCTACACTAAAAATGTAAAAACGTGTTTTCTTTGCTTTACTACAAATGTGTCATTTGTTCAAGGGCGATAGTTTTGATATCTCAGTTATAAATTATATTGATAAATCTCATTTAAGAAAATTAATTGAATTTAGGGTCCCCAGCCCTAATTGGAATATTGTACAATGGATGTACTAAATTTGAAAAATGTGCCGGCGGATTCAGTTACTTCCACACAAGCAATGGCTCTGTTTGAAATTATAGTTACAAAGCTTTTAAAAGAAAATATGAAATTAGGGTGACTGGCCCAAACGGAATCTTGTAAAATGTTTTTTCTAATTTAGAAACATTTTCGGTAGTGCGCACTTCACTTGACCCAGTTTTATCACAATCGAATGAATGGTATAGAAATGCATACGATAATTATATAGATAATAGAAGTGTGGATAACGAATTTAGGGCCCTCCGCCACAAATAGAATATTGTAGAATTGTTGTATTACTTCAGAAACCTACTTAATATGTCACACACTCAATTTAATATCACTATTTGTATTTGATTAAAAAAATGCTCTGGCTGATGGACAACAACTCACCTCAGTTTTATTGCAAGCGCTTGAATGATGTAGGAGCGCATACGGTTTGAAATTATTTTTATATAGCTCATTTTGTAAGAAAAAACATAGGGCACCTGGCTCAACACTGAATATTTTAAAATAGATGTAGTAATTTAAGAACCTTTTATGTGCGATAGAACAACATCTCACTAAATTTTTATCGCATTCTGAAAAACGGTATAGGAGCCCATAGAACATTATTTTTTACAAAGCTCAAATTAGAAAAAAATATGAATTTGGGTCAACGGCCGAAAACGGAATATTTTAAAAGTGTTGTAATAAATCAGTAATATGGGTATGTTTATAGATAAAAAATCGTCAAGTTTTGTCGCAATCGCATGAATGGTGCAGGAGCGCATACAGGTCGTATAAGAAAAAAAACGTAAATAAGGCCGCTGACTCAATATGTAATGTTTTGAACAGTTTATAATAAATTAAAAATCTTTGCGGCCAAGTTTCCAACATCTCACAAAAGATTTATTGCAATCGAATAAATGGCGTAGGAGCGCAAATTGAAATTATTTCTTACAAAGCTCACTTTAGAAAAAATACGAATTAAGGGCCAACGGCCGAAAACGGAATATTTTTAAAAGTGTTTAAATAACACAGTAAAATGCAATAGTACATGGACAACAACTCACTAAGTTTTGTAGCAATCGCATGATTGGTGTAGGAGCGCATCCGGTTTAAAAATATATTTATATAGCTCATATTAGGAAAACGAATATAAATCCCACTGGCTCAAAACTGAATTCTTTAAAACGGTTGTAATAATTTAGAAACCTTTATGGACATGCTGGCAACATCTCACCAAAGTTTTATTGGAATCGGATAAATAGCGTAGGAGCGCATATGGAAAATATTTTTTTACAAAGTTCATAGAAGAAGAAAAACGATCTAAGGGCCAACGGCTAAGAATAGAATACTTTATAAGGTTTTTAATGTCTTATTTAAATGGCCATTTATTTGGACAACAACTGACCAAAGTTCACATGAATAGTGTAAGAGCGCATATGAGACATACAGACATACAAACATTCATTTTTATATAAATAGATGAACATACCACCCTTAACAAATAACGCAATTGATACACTGAAATACTCACAAATATGCAACAAACCATAAATGGAATAAATGCTGTTTGACGATTATTCTCAAAATTTGTATTATCCTTAACCAAGACACAAACTATTTAAAGTTGGCAAGAAATAAGTAGAAATTAAAACCCATTTTAGTGAACCGTTAATTACGCCACAGGACTTTTCACGCATGCAAATAAATCTTGTGATACTTTTAATAAATTACAAATCCCAGTTATAACGCAGTGTAATTTTTTTTTATGAAAATGGAGCGAAAATTATTTAGATTTGTTAAAAATAAAATGGTTGCATTATGGAGACAAACATGCTGAAGTTCGTTGGGATAAAAAAAAAAAACAACAACAAAATCAACATATAAAGTTGAAAGTTATCGGCATGCAAGTCAATTCAGAGTCTATAAAAACAACTATAAAAATAACTTACAATCTAAGTGTATAAAAGATAGCTTACACTCAGTGTATAAAATAACTTACAATCTAAGTGTATAAAAGATAGCTTACACTCAGTGTATAAAATAACTTACAATCTAAGTGTATAAAAAATAACTTACAATCTAATTGTATAAAATATAACTTACAATCTAAGTGTATAAATAATAACTTACGATCTAAGCGTATAAAAATATCTTACAATGACTAATTGATTTTTTTGTTAAACTTTTAAATCAATTGCCATATTGATTAAATATTTCACTGTGTGTCCCTTCCATTCGGTTATTGTTCTAATTGGATTTAAAGACCACATCTAATTGTTCAAATAAAACTTTTAATTGTAATTTTTATGTTGTAAATAATAACTGATAAAAAATTGTGTCCATTTACCCACCACAATGAAAAAGTATCTCTCGTTCAAATATAGCAATTTTAGTTATCCTTTCGATATATGCAAATAATTATGACGCAATTTCAAGTTAATATTTCAGATGTATCCATATCAAACTGGAGCAATCTGCAAGGATGTTGTCTTTTAAACTTTAAAAATTCGGGTCCCCGGCACCAAAAGAAATCTATCTTCCATACTTTTTTTAGAACTCAGGAACTTGGGAATTGGGAATTATGACCAAACTGTCAAGGGACCATATCAATGTAATTATTAATGGCCATAGAACATGGCTTAAGATCCATTGTTTTGTTTTCTTGTGATTGGTCGACTCATCTACTTACAAACAAGAAACAAGTGTACCACAAGCTGTATATAGTAAATAGTGTTATATTAAAACATATATATTTTATGTTATATTAAAACATATGTAATATATATTATGTATGATTTCTTTGGGTGCTCTAATGATTTTTTGGATATCTTTCATCAAACAGTATGACTCCGGCAAACCCTGTACAAGCCATTATCGAAATGGTACGATCCTTGATGTCTGGAGAGGCGTAAATGAAGTTCTCTTCGTCGTCTACAATAGTGAAAGAAAACAAGTCAGGCAGATTAATTTCAATGCTATGAACTCGGACAAAAATAGCTGGTTCCAAAATAGTAATGTCCGAACTTCCGATTGGACAGACCTGGGGAATACTCCCACAGATATTTTCAGCATCGCGGGAGAATCTTCTCTGAACAAAAATCGACACTTCTTCATTAGCCATTTCAACAGAGAATGTAACATCAACGATGGCTGGTTTATTGCCTTGGACTCAAAATATGACGAATGCTGTATGGGTCCACAGAATTTCCCAGTTTTTTTGTATTCTTCTACGCAAACGTGCTCGCTTTGGAACTCAAATGATGTCGAAGCTGCGGATGCGTTTGAGGTGTACATTAAAAATGACTAAACACCCGCACGCACATTTAAGTAAGCCATGAAAATTTTGTGATTAAACGGTTGCATACGTTTAAAGAAATGTGGGATATTTTTTTTGTTTGTAAAGCTTCTAGGCTGACAAGCATTACTTTGAACATGTATCAACTTTTAAAAAAATTTCTAAGAGAATCCACTTTTTTTTTTAATCTCTAGCTTTAATGTTCAAACACTTTTTAAAAAAAAAAAAAAAAAAATTTTTATTACAATTATAATATTTTAAAAATACCTTATAAAATAAACTTTGGCGTACCTGCGGGTATTTTAAATTTTAAATCCTTTATTTTTTCTAGCCGCCTACACAATTTTATATCATTTGAGCTTTACTAAACCAACTTAATATTGAGAATACTAATGTAAGAAACATTTTTTTTTTAAACCACTGATGTGCTTATAATTTTGAATCATTGTAGAATTATATATTTGCTTTTTCCTGGAATGGTCTTTTAAACCATTGTAAAATAACGCATCACTTATAATGAAAACTGAAACTTGAGAAATGCTTGTTTAAAGCTTATCTAACATAAATGTTTTTTGTTTTTTTTATAAGAAAGAAAACTAGGATCTTTTAAGATTCCATTCACAAGTTTGATGTTATTGATACCTTTTGAATGTACATTAAGTGTTCCACGATTGTTTACTCAATTTTTCTTTAATCTTTAATTCTTTGAGATTTCATTATTTAGTCACTTCAATAACAGCGATTTAATCATTGTTCTTGCCAAACGTCCGCTTTTGTATTTCTTGTCGATCTTTTTTTATATATAGCACTCTATTTTATAAAGCTTAATAGCAATAAATGTCATACAGAAATTTGATTGGTTTTAGATTTATGCATGTGTTTGTTTTGTGTTGGTATTATCAAGTATTATATATGTCTGAGATGTTATGATAACACATGTGTATACGTTTCAAATATTATTATCATATATATATATATATATTATATATATATATATATATATATATATATATATATATATATATATACGCACCCGTTTCTATCCGAAGGTTCAATGTCTTTGTTCAGTCTAGGTCTTTAATTATTTTCACCTAACGAACTATATTAATATATATATATATTATATATATATATATATATATATATATATATATATATATATATATATACGAACCCGTTTCTATCCGAAGGTTCAATGGCTTTGTTCAGTCTAGTGCTTTAATTATTTTCACCTAACGAACTATATTTTCTGACAATATAATATGTTTATTTCTCAGCTAAGCTACATCTTCAATAGCAATTACTCCAAAGACCACAATACACAATAATAATACTACGCCACCTCCCCTTTCGCGCACTTCCGTCACAAAATATCAAACATTTAATAGCAACATCTACACAAATACTCTCCAAACAACACGCAATTACAATATACATTCAAGTCCTTAACAATCCTCCCCTGCTTCGTTTGACATTAATTTGAAAAATTGAGTCACCCTCAAAATTTTTCTATAAAAATAAAACAATAAACAAGAGTAAGTGGCAAATGTACTCCAATCAATTGAAATATTACATTTTAAATTAAGAGGCCTTTATATTAAATTACAAACAAACTTTTAACACATTGCCACACCAAAATGTTTAACTAACCTAGCATCTTTCCACAACAATATACTAGATATGACAAACTTTAATGATACAAATTAACTTTTGTATATTTAGATGTCATAATACTCTTATAAATTATGAAATATTATTACATTAACCATAAACTAATTGTCCCGAACACAGAAAGTGACAACAAAAAAATCTCTGCCTGTTAAATGAGAAAAAAATGTCACCATCCATGACATCATGTGGATTTTCCAAAAATGTTCAGTCCAATATTCAGCTTTATTTATTTATTTATTTATTTAGGCATTTTTATATAGCGCTTATCATAAAGCTCTAAGCGCTTTACAATTATTAAAACATGTAAACTAAGTAAAATAAAAATGAGACACTAGGATAGTAACTACTATTCTATATATATAGCGCTTATCATAAAGCTCTAAGCGCTTTACAATTATTAAAACATGTAAACTAAGTAAAATAAAAATGAGACACTAGGATAGTAACTACTATTCTATAGAAACAATGAAAATGGCTATAAAACGAGGACACTTTGACACTTCAGGATCAACCCGAAACAGAAAATGAGGTAGGGCAAGGAGGGTGCATCACAGGTCATAGGCGGACCTAAACAGATGAGTTTTAAGGGACTTTTTGAAACTGGACGAGGTTTCACTATGACGTATATGAGGGCGGGATATTATTTATGTTATTCGCCTGACAAAAAGCGTGCACATTTTTCCAGCAGCTCAACTCTTCACTCTCAATTCCCACTGGTTTTTTTACACTATGGCGTTTTGTCACATTGTCGACCAACAATTAAAAAAAAAAATCACATTTAAATTCTTAAATATAATAATGTTAGAATCATCAAAATTGTAATACTTAAAACAAACAGAGCAGTGACCGCACCCTTAAAATAAATCAGTTATAATGACAACAATATCAACAACCTTACCTCTCAACTCAACGAAAACACAAACTTTCTCAAAAAAACAAGAAACGGAGCTATCATGGCTCTCAAAATTTGAGCACTCTTGGCTCTCATGATCATATATATCACACATATGAACATCCAAACAAATTTTCTCTCCTACCCCCATCTCAGTGAAAAACTCACACCCTCCATGAAATGTTAAAAATCAGGATTGAAAACGTTAATCACAGTGTTCCCACGGTCCCCAAACCTCAAGTAACCAGTGTATTCCAAACCACAAAAGTTGCGCAGTGGACAAATATCCTCGTAGCTCCACGTAAGGTGATCTCCAATTACATCTACTTTGTTGAACTTACGTCCCCTTGACAAGCTCACGACCTGTACTTGGTGATATGAGTATCTTGTCCAAATCTTAACATTATTAGCATCTCCCTCTTGCACCAAATAAACATATCCCTGCAGTACAAAATCAACAAATCTCCTTTGTACCAGACAAACATTCTCTATCTGTACAAAAGTAAAATCTGAATCATTTACCAAACCATCATCTGCTTGTCTTACAAAATCAACAAATCCTTCGTGTACCAAACCAACATGTCCTTTCTGTACAAAATCAACAAATCCCTCTTGCACAAAGCAAGTTCTATTTACAGTCTCTATGTTAATGGAAACATCCTCAACACTACACTGTGCTATGCCTATATCCAATACCTACTGCGTCAATTTTCTCACATGTAGCCACATCTTAGCTAGCAAAATTTCTAACTGACTCCTGAACTTCAGCTACATTTAAAATATTCCTAGCCACCTTAATGGCAACCATATGATCATTTTAATTTACCTCGTTGATGGTCACTATAAACAAATCGTTATCCATATCCTCAGTTACATTAGTGTTACATTCCTCAGAATACCTACGTTCCTCCGCCACTTTGGAAATTTCCCCTTAAATTGATTTTCAAAAGTGAATTTACTCTTTTCAACTTTAAACCCACGACGACCCGATTTTCCTTAACCACACGAATCTAATCCTCTTGTCTCTCCCTCTTCCATTTCTCAACTTCAGCCACTTGTTTTGTTTTTTTTTTACTAAATTCCTCTCTCCGCATATTATGTTTTATCCTGTAATTTTAACTCTGCCTTTGCTGGCTCCCGGGTCAGCTGTTCCAGCCTCACTTGTCGTTCTCGTGTTTCACGTTCTAGCCTATCTTGTCTTTCTCGTTCTTTATGTTCTAGCCTGACTTGTCAATCTCCTTTTTCCCGTTCCAAACTAACCTGTCTATCTCGTCCTTTTTCCATCTCCCCCCGATCTAGCCTATATTTTTCTTTCAGCTTGTTTTCGACAAACGTCTTTATAACCCAGGTCCACTCCAAACTCCCTTAGATACTAATAATAATACTAATAATAATAAGGGGTCTTATATAGCGCTGTACTACAGCCTAGGGCTGGGCTCACCACGCTGTACATAAAAATTGTATCAAAAGAGACATAATCATGACTTTAAAATAAAATACATTTATGAAATAAAGAACAGCAAAAAATATATATTCACCCACCCCAACATTAATTTTTACAAGACAAACCATTGGACGGCAGCGAGCAAGATCCTTGATCGGTCAGAGGAGGGGAATCAGTCAGGGTAGTATAATTTATAAAGATATGTTTTGAGTGCAGTTTTGAAGGCCTGGGTGGTTGGTATATGGCGCATTTGTAGTGGCAAAGAATTCCATTGTTTGGGGCGCAGAAAGAGAAAGATCGTTCACCATATGTTTTAGTGTGTGTCTTGGGAACGGACAGAATACGCTTGTCTGCAGAGGAGCAAAGCTGTCGAAGGGGTGAATAGACAGATAGAAGTTCGGTTAGATAGGAAGGGCAGGAATCTAAGAAAAAGTTGTGACAGGGAACAGACAATTTGTAGTCAATACGTGTCTGCATAGGTAGCCAATGAAGGGAATGGAGTAGTGGAGATCAAAGGTCAATGTTTTATCTACACTCGTGGTTCCCATGTTTTATATTTATAAATTTAATGACCAGGGTAGTGTAAAACAACAGTCTAAAATAATTTTTAAAAAATGTTATTTTGCTAAAAAAAATATTTATTTTTATAAAAAAAAACACTTAAAGTAAATAACTTAAGCCTTTATCTTGTTCATCACGGGTCTCTGGACTACCGGTCTTGGTCTTGTCACTAATGTGTTGAACGGACAGCTGTACACTGTGGAATCGGGGCACGGCACAGTGAAATGTAGGATACATTAACATTAGGATGCAGTCAGAGTGAGATACGGGCCTAGCAGGATACATACAAAGCAGCGGTTTCCGTCAAATGGGTTACAGCACAACAGGATGCAGTAATCGCAAAATACAGGCCAAGTGGGATAAGAGCCAAGCAGGATTCAGGCCAGTCAGCGGCATACCATCAAACCAGGTAACAGCACAGTTGCATGCAGTGATCGCAGGATACAAGCCCAGTGGGATTCGGGTCCAGTAGGATACATGTCAGATAGTGGCTTACTGTGAACCCGGAAACAGCACAGCAGCATGCAGTGATCGCAGGATAAAGGCCGAGTGGAATTTTGGCCCAGCAGGATACAGGATCAGCAGCACACAGATACAGCAGCATGGAGCCATGGCAGGATATCGGATAGCGTTAAAACCGCTCCATCGGGATGCCGGGCAGCATTTAAGAATTTAAAATAAATCTTTTAATGTAATTGAGTTAATTTATTCTGACAACTGAATAGTCCCTAATCATTTGTCATTTTTTGTTTTGTTTTCTCTACCAAAGAAGTCATCTTCCTAAACTTCCATTTGATTGCCTTTTGTTTTGATTGATCCACCCATATCCCGAAACAAATTTCCGATATTTCTATACTTTTATTCATGTTTTTCTTTCATTTTTTTAAAGAGTGTTATTAATTACATTTTTTGAAAGTACGTAATATATAGTTAAGTAATTTCATTAAAAAAAAATAATAATGACAGGGATGTACTTGAATTTATTGGAAACAAATAAAATCATGAATAATCTATTAAATAAACATTCATTGGCGTTACATCCATAAATGTTAGGATCAAACTCGAGTAGACAAGGTTTAATAAAAACGTAAATCAACTTAAGATGAAACATGATCAAAGTGAAAAAAAAAAAATTATATTTCATAAGCACATTTTTAGTGATATGATAAAGAAAAGTAGAACATCCATTGTTTATTTAATCCTTATAAAAGAATCCAAATGAAAAAAAGTCAATAATAAGAAGAGATTTAATTGTAATTGACAATGTCCATATCTTAAAACCAAA